GTTGCACGCGCGCTGGAGACCCAACTTCCGACGTTGATTTGCAGCGAGGTAGGCCCGTCATTTGAACGGGTTGCAACCGTTGTTGGCGACAAGGTGGCGGCGCTTGAAGCTAGGTGCAGGGCGCGTCGAGACATATGGGGGGGAGGGTCCGAGAGCTCTACTGGGGGGGGGGATGCGAGCCGCGGCCGCTCGCCACATCCTGGGCCTCCTGTGCCGAGAGGAAGGGCGGGCGCATCGGCTTCCCCAGCGCGACCACCTCCTTCTGGTCTTCTTTGCCGCCATGGCCGCCGCCGCCATCGGGCTGAGCTCGTCTTCGTTCACCCTGAGGGCCGCCTCGTCGATGACAACCATATGGAGAACGTTCGACGGGAAGCAGATCGCGACCTTGGGATTCGCAGCGGTCCTCGCCGCAGCAGGGGCACGCCCGAGGAAAGGGCGCCTGCTGCTTCCTCGCCCGGGGCGGCGGCGCAGCGCAGCCGACCTCGCCGAGCCTCCCAGTGAGGACCGCTCCGGTTGCGAGCCCGATCAGCTACGGCAGATTCGAGGACATCGTCGAAGCTGAGGAAGCACAAGAGGTACACCACTACATTATGAGCCACCTTCTCCGCGGACACCCCTTCGAGGATGTACCTCCCGAGCCCGATATCGATTGAGACATGCGCAGGAGCTCCTGAGGCTGGCGTGGCGAGCTGTTCTCCATCGCCTTCCACTTCCTGGTCCTCCTGTCCACCTTTCCTGTCCTCGTCGCGCCGTTCATGCTCTGTGCGCGCATGTGTTGGGGGGTATTATTGTGATCTTATTCAGAGGGCTTCCGCCCGCGTCTTCCGCCCGCTTGCGGGCAGCGGGCTCGTCTGAACATGTTGTGGAATCGGTGCTCGCTTTTCGGCCGCGCTCCACCATCTCCGCCCCCTTCGCTTCCTGGGGGGCTGCAATCTGCGAAGCTGTCGCCAATTTCGCGAGCTCCTGGGAGGCCCAGGGGGATATCTTCCTTATCTGACACGTGGATTTAGCAGCTCCTAATGCACGGGAAGAGAGGGCGGATGGGGGAGGGGGAGGGATGGAGCGCGAGAGAAGTTAGCCGGAAGAGGGCTAGGAGCTGAAAGTACGTGGTAGAACCATGCGGGCAGACCGGGCGGGCAGACCCCGGCGGGTGGGTCGGGGAGGCGGGCCCAGGCGGCCTGGTCGAGCAGGCGGCTCGCTGAAGCGTGAGTCCTGCATGGGTCGCGAGGAAGTCTCTAGCGATAGCGCGATTCCCAAGTTATCGTGGGATCAGCAAAGCGAGAGCGTGATTCCTGAGTGTCGAGGGAGCGGCGTCTAAATCAATTGAAAAAAGGGGTCCCACGCAAAGAGGTCTCACGCAGGAACGTAGGTTCTTTCTCTGGTTGCGGTGGAGTTGGCTCTACGGTTGGTGGAGGTGGGGGTGGGGAGAAAGACGTCGAGCGGACTGCGCGCGGCGGTTGCGCCGATGACGCTTGCTGTCCTTTCTGCTAAGCAAGAGCCTTCGCATTGCGGAACAGATGAGTTGCACATGTGTCGCATGACTTTGAAATGTCGTTAGCATCGCGAGCATTTCAGGCAGAGGTGTGTGCATTCAGACCCGTCGACCGAGGGCATGGATTATCCGTTTGCGCCGCTAGCCTGCTGTCATATTGTTAAGGCGCACGCTGTTCCGCTCTCGATTGAGGCCCTTGCCAGCCATCGGTGAAGTCGCGCTGGGGGGGTCGGGGGCGGGTTCCAGGGTCGTGGTTATATACTCCTAGACGAGGAGTAGAATGTCGCTCGATTGAGGCGCGCATTTGGCGCGTCTTGCCGCTTTGCCCACTCGGGTTGGTGCTGAGCCCGAAGAAATATGCGAAACACACCGAGGATATCTGGGGGTGAACCGAACAAACCCCGCGGGGCGTCCAGGTGCAGGCAGGGGTCCCTTGCGCAACGCCCTCGGTGAGGGGTAGTACTGCCCACCAAGTGGGCCCTTTGACCCAGGGCGCGGGGTGGCGGGCATGGGGGGCTGTGGGAGGCTTGAATCTTCGCAGGCCGGTCTGCACCACATTTGTTTTTACAGGCCAGCCTGCCCAGGCCAGCGTCAACATGCTCAGTTTGTAACTCATGCCACACCTCTTGAGGCAGTTAGCACCTTAAAACATGGCGGGGGTGTTCAACTCATACTGGGGGGTTCTTACCAAGGTGCACTGCCCTCCTGTACCTGGCGGGCGCCTATTATTTTTTTTTCTTGCCGCCCTCCTCCATTTTGTTTCTGCGGCGCCCGCCGGGTTTCTGTGCCGCCAGTCGGGGCTGATGTTTATCCTGCAAGTCGGACTCGGGTCGGTTTTGTTTTTCAGGCAAGAGCGCGGCAGGCTAGTTTCTCGCGTTAGTCCAACGCAGAAATGAGGGCAAGGACGAGGACGAGGACGAAGAGGAGGAGGGGGAGGAGCAGGATGAGGAGGAGGAGGAGGAGGAGGATGGGGGGGGAAGAGGAGGAGGACAGCAAGGACTAGGACAGAGTCTTTAAATGGCCCCTTGGGGCCTTCTTGGGACTATTTTGGAGGATCGCTCGGTTTTCTTAAGGCTCTTTGGGGGGAGCTCGACGCCTTTTGGGGGGCCCTCTTGGAAGGTGCCTTGAGGGCCCTGGAGGGCCTCTTGGGGCCACCTTGGAGACCATCGATCAAAGGGGGGGGGGGGGGGGGGGGCGGGGCGGGGCCCCCCGTGCCCGCCCTCTTCCTGAGGCCATCGAAAGCGCTTATCGGGGCCCTTTTTGGGCGATCTTGGGCCGCGCTCGGGCGCTTTTGGGACCGCCTGGGGGCCTCCTGGGCCTCCCTTGGGGCAAAACAAAAAAACGCATCGGAAGCGCCTCGCGCCCCTCCCTCCTTCCACCCGCACAGTTGCGGCGGGCACCCTCGCAGCTATTGCGCCACGTGGCCGGGTGCTCCTGCGCTCCTCGCGCCGCCGAGGCAGCCCCGCGGGGCGGAGAGGATCTCGCGCGCTGCTGCGACGTTCGACTTGACGAAGGACGCAATTGCGGCGAATACGCGCGCCGCTCCCGTGCTCAACAACACCGACGTCGTCGACGCCTACGAACCGCGCGACGGGGAGCTACGCTCGCAGAGCCTCCAGGCCTGGCGCTGCACGAACTGAATACAACGCATCCCGGCAAATCGATTATGGACATGCCTGCGACGCCCTGGCGTGGCGCTCGCGTGCCCCACGACACGAATGAGCACGCGCTGGCGACAAATCTCTCCGAGGAGCCGATCATGGACACGCATGCGGCGCCCTGGCGTGGCGCTCACGTGCCACAAGACACGAATGACAGCATCGGTATCACCGAGCTGCGCACTGCCCTAGAGGAGCCGATGGACCCCCGCATCCCTGCTGCGCCATTCCTCCGTCATTCAGATCTTTTCCAGCTACGTCTGTGCAGCCAGCGGCGCCGACATCTTGCCCATCACCTCGCCGCGCCTCATGACCTGCGAACTCCGTTTCAACCGTGTGCGCACGATCCCCGCGGTACCCTCTCGCGCGAGCAAGTGTGCACATCAGGCACGCGCATGGAGATGCAGGTCAATCAGGTGCAAGCGAACACCGCCGATAATCATGGCAATGACATCGCGGAGAACGACGCTGAGGAGGACGGCGCCAGGAGGCGCCCGAGTGTGCCGCTCGCTCTTGCCTGGCACCGCGTGGCCTCAAGCGAGACTTGGGCTAACAAGTGCCAGTGCGCGCCGACATCTACGAGGCTATCACAAAGAGCGCGCGCGCCAACGCGAACCTGTGCGAAGCCATCGGCCAGGCCGAACGGCTCACGCGCGCCCGCGAGCATTGGCACGGTGCCCCCCAGAAGGCCTTCTCGATATATGCGCTGACTTTGCGGAGTACGGGTGAGAAACTCTTTGCGTTGACACCCGTTTATCTGCATTCCCGTGTCATTTGCTTATTTGCGCTCCCTTTTTTATCCCCCTCCTTATGTTATCCTCTCGGGCAGCCTCCACTCCTCCTCCTCTCCCCCTGTCGGACATGCATTGCCTGCGCGCGAGCGCTCGAGTGCAGCGCCGCGTCGGCGCCGGCCAATGGGCAACAGGCGGGTACGCCCCGCAGCGACGAATGCAGTTTGTACAACATTTTCCACACGTGGAATAGCCATGTACAGCAAATCCAGTTTGCGAAGTCTTGTTCCTTGCTCCCACGTCGTCGTACGCAGCGGCGAACAAACAAACATGTGTGATGTTCCTTAGGTGTTTAAAGGATATGGGATTCTTAGGGGGGTCCCGAGGGGGCTCCGAGAGCACTAGGAACTGTGCAGTATGGTGCCCTTTTTCGTCGGGCTTCTTGGAGGTATATCCGAAGTTATTTTGAACCATCGTCGGCTATCTTGAGCCACTATGGAGGCAGTTTTTGAGCATCGGAAGCCTTCTTGGAACCATCTTGGGCCATCTTGGACGCTCTAATGTGTCGCGGCCCGCGCCGAAAAAAACTTCAGGGAGGGGGGGAGAGGTTCTTGGAAGAAGAAACAATTCGCGAAACCACCGTAGTCCAAAAGGCTGTTGGGATTACTTCGGCAGCGCTGCGCTCGCGACGTCCAAGGACCGCGCTATCGTGCGAGTTTCCTTTACAATTTCCTCGGGGGCGCGCTTTCGGTTTAGGTTTCATTGCAATTTGCGAAGTTCGCATCAATGCCCCGACCGACCCGCCCGCTTGGGTCGCTTACCCGCCCGCCTGCTAGGGCATGTCCTTGTCATTGAGGAGAGGAGGAGGCCGAGGAGAAGGAGGAGGAGGAGGAGGGGAAGGAAGAGGAGGAGAAGCAGGAAGAGGAGAAGGAGGAGTCCAGGGATTCTGCGGGGGAGTTTGCTCCGCTCCGCTGCGTCTGTCCCGGGGAGTCCGCGGCGGCCATGTGACCGCTTGCGGGATGTGATCGAACGGCAAAGGAGGGCCAGAGGAGGAGGAGGAGGAGGAGGAGAAAGAGGCTGACCGCCACAGCGCTGCCGAGATTTATCCCCCCCTCCGAGGTCGGCTACTGCCAGGGCATGAGCCACGTGGCCGCGGTGGCTGCGGCACACTTCCGGACACCGGCCGAGGCGTTCCCGCCGTTCGCCGAGGCGTCGAGGGCGGGATATGTTTTTCTTGATCCAGCCCAGACATGCCCGTCTTGATCCAACCCAGACATGTCCGTGTCAGCTTCCGGTTTCTGGGGGCCCTCGCCGGGCCCGGGGCCCGGGACCATCAAAAAGCGGCCCAGGATGGAAAGTCGGTTCCGGGGAATGGGTCGACACCTCCAGGGGTTGACGTTATGTCTTCTCTCCTTTCTGTTGCTTATGCTCGCGCTGCGCCCCTCCGCTTTTCCTCATCCTGTGCCTCCAGGCCACGCTCCACCGCCTCCTCTCCTGTGGCCATCTTGGCCGAACGTCATCCGCACTTGCGGATGCAGACCTTCGGCCAACATGAACCTCGATCTGGATTGGTGCAATCGATTCGCGCATTCCGCCTGCCCATTTGATATCATCCTTGCCATTTGTCTGGGTGCTTGCGGGCATTGGACAGTTGCTGGGTGGCAGTAGTCTCCCCCGGCTGTCGCGCGAAGCTCGCGCGGGTGAGAAACAGTCGCTTGGCGCAGCGAATGCTCCACTCAACGGAAAGCCTAAAAACATAAGCAAACAGTTTTGTCTTGCCCCTTCGTGGGCTGTCGGAGCATCCTGGGGGAGTCTTGGCGGGTCTCTGGGAGGCTTCAGGGGGGGCGTTGTGGCGTCTAAGTCGGTTCTTGGGGCCTCTTTTGGGCTTCCTGACTTGAACCACTGTGGGACAGAATTCGCCATCTTGGAGCCTTTTGGGGCTGGTTCATCTTGTCGGAGGTGGAGGGGTGAGATCGAAGTGGAACGGAGAGCCCCCCTATCGGGAAGTCGGTTTCGGTTTCGTGTTCGCGCGTGCCGTGCTTGCGGGCGAGGCGAAGCTGCGTGGGCGGGCGAGAAGAAAGTCTCCTCTGGCTGAGGCGCGGCCGGACCAAATGATTCCTTTCCGGGGGCCGGTGGCCCGCAGTGTCCCGCCAGTGTCCCGCCTGCGGCTGAGGCGCGGCCGGACCAAATGATTCTTTTCCAGGGGCCGGTGGCCCGCGGTGTCCCGCCGGTGTCCCGCCGGTGTCCCGTCGATGATGATCCCGATGATGATGATGATGATGATGATGATGATGATGATGATGATGATGATGATGATGATGATGATGATGATGATGGTGATGGTGATGGTGATGGTGATGGTGATGGTGATGGTGATGGTGATGATGATGATGTTGCTGATGATGTTGATGATGTTGATGATGATATGATGAGATGATGATGCTGGTGATGAGGATGAAGATGATGATGATGATGATGATGGTGTCCCGATGATGATGGTGATGATGAGGTTGATGATGATGCTGTTGATGATGATGGTGATGATGATGGTGTCCCGATGATGTTGATGATGGTGATGGTGATGATGATGGTGATGACGCTGATGGTGTCCCGGTGATGATGGTGGTGATGATGAGGATGATGATGAGGTGATGATGGTGATTTCGATGATGGTGGCCCGATGATGATGATGCTGATGTTGATGATGATGGTGTCCCGTTGATGGTGATGATGATGGTGGTGATGATGATGGTGGCGATGATGATGGTGTTCCGATGATGATGATGATGATGATGTTGATGATGATGTTGCTAATGATGATGAACACGATGACGGTGTCCTGGTTATGATGAGGTTGATGATGTTGTTCATGATGATGCTGAGATGGTGATGATGGTGATGTTCCGATGCAGATGATGATGATGGTGCCCCGATAATGATGTTGATGATGATGATGGTGGCGATGATGGTGCCCCGATGATGATCATGATGATGATGATGATGATGATGATGGTGATGATGATGATGGTGTCCCGATGATGATGTTGATGATGATGGCGATGAGGTGGTGAGGACGATGATGGTGTCCTGATGATGATTTTGATGACGCTAATGACGGTGATGTTGATGCTGGTGATGACTTTGATTGTGAGATCGACTGTGATATCGATAGTGCGATCGATAGGGATACCCAATGTGAGATCGATTGTGAGATCGGTAGCGAGATCGATAGTGAGATCGATTGTCAGATCGATTGTCAGATCGATTGTGAGATCGATCGAATGACATAGATCGAGTGATATCGACTGTGAGATCGATCGAGTGAGATCGATCGAGCGAAACCGATAGTGAGATCGATATTGAGATCGATCGTGCGACCGATCGGGTGAGATGTTGGTTCCTCGGTTCCTGCCTCCCCCGAACCTCCTTATCACCCGAAGGGTGGTCGTATAGGTAGGCATTATGATGCATCCCGCCCATTGGTCCCCGCTCTTGGGCCCTCTTGGGATCCTCCTGGAGCCCGGTTTTGGCTCTCTTGTAGGCTATGTTGCGCTCTCTTCGGGCTCGGAGCTCTACTGAGTGGGACCTCTTGCATCCTCTGTATTGCCGGACGTGTCAG